CCCCCCCCCCCCCCCCCCCCCCCCCCCCGCGCGGCGCAGTGAGACTGGCTATGAGTACTTACTCAGCAAGCCAAACGCGCATACACAGTTTTTTGGACTTCAATTTTTTGTCAGCAAAATGAGTGGTCGGCAAAGTGTAGATATCGAGAAAAAGTACCTGTCGGCAAAGTGTACATGTCGGCAAAGTGGTGTCGGCAAAGTGATTGTCGGCCAAGTGATCCGGACCCCTCTGCGATACCCCATAACTTACCTAATAATCTGAAACGAACCAACAACGAAAAATAAGTCGATCACAAAAGTAGCACTTTTGATTTTGTTAATTTGATGTCAAATATATTTTTGTTTTCGATTAATAATCAATGGTAGTTACCAAAACTTCTAAGAGAAAACAAAAACAATCAGTGCAATTGAAATGTTTATAGTAGAGAAGAAACAAGAAGAATACTTCATTCACTCAGTTGTATTTTGTCAACTAATTGAAAAAAAAACATCAACGGAAAGAAACAAAAAGAACTGCCTTCTTACTCAACCATAGGAAATGTCTTTAACTTTAATTTTAGAAAGTTCGTTACTTAACGCGACGGGGTGAGCGGAATGACTGCACAACTGTTATTAAAATTTTATATGATAATAGCTGATGTTTTTTAACCGGTTATTAACCCGGCTATTAAAACATCAGCTATGCGCATTCTAGTTTGAAACAGATAGTAGTTTATAATTGTAATGATCGTTACCGTGATAATTATTTCATGTGTAAGCTGCCTGACTTCATTCTCGTTTCTTCTTACTATAAATATCTCAATTGTATTGATTTTTTTTGTTTTCTTTTAGACGTTTCGATAACTACCATTGATTATTAATCGAAAACAAAAATATATTTGACATCAAATTAACAAAATCAAAAGTGCTATTTTTGACTTATTTTTCGTTGTGGGTTCGTTTCAGATTATTAGGTAAGTTATGGGGTATATCGCAGAGGGCGACCGATTTGATAAAGTTTTGTGAGTGCATTTTTTTCGCATAAAAACTTCGTTTTCGCTTGGGCCGCGCTAAATTAGTGAACGAACAGTTCGTGTCTCTGTTTAACCTTGAAAAAGGAGTTGGTTTATAAACTGCTGAATAAAGCTGTTTGGAAGTTAAAGAATCTATTCCACCAGTTTTGTTATCATGTCCAATTTAGCTCTAGAATAACCAGGTACAGACCCCTAGCAGTCGTTTTTTCTTTTGCTCGTGGAGGAAGCAGAAGCGAAAACACTAAAACAAGACAAATTGCTGCTCAAAAAAAAATGCTTTTATGGTATATAAATGTTTTTTCCAACTTCTACTAAGAGTTTTTTTGTGAAGGATGAAAATCCTATTAATAATAATAAATCCTTTTCATGAGTAAAAAAATAAAAGCTTGATCGAATGGGATAGTGATATATTTTTTCTTTCAATTCGACTGTAATGATTTCTTAACTGAAAAAAAAGAAAATCTGAGCAGATTTTTACTCTAGAAAACTCGTAGTTTTTTTGAATTCAAAAATTATTGCAGCCTAATTTACAAACAGTGCTCAGAAGGCTGGTGTAGAACAGTTAGATTCTTCTGAACATTTGCAATGATATATTTGTTTCAAAAGGTTCCTACGACCGGAATTCACGATTAGGATTTTTTCGAAATATTTTTAGCACTGTAATCGCATGGAGGCAATAAAGAAATAATATTCACAACCAAAAGTCCGAGGATGACAATCAAAATTTCAGAAAAGGTACTAAATGATGTGCTCTTTGAACTAAGCCTGGGAAAAGGTTTTCGACTATACATTTCAAAGGGCCAGTCGCAAACTGCTATAATTACGCGGCGGATGCATCTTAAAATAAGTTTCATAGGAAAACATATCGAATTTAGTTTCGTTCTTGAAAACGGCCTGCAAAATACTATCCCTGACGATGAAATGGTTTTTGTCGTATTAGTTGTGTTGTATTAGTTCATTGATATCACTTATTACTCCTTTCCTCTAAATAAATGTTAGTTTGAGTCAAGAATAATTGAAGAAATAAGTCGGGTGAATAATAATAATTTTCTGACTTTTTCTAGAAAATAGATGTCTGCGGCAGAAAATCTTTATGAAACAGATGTGACACATGAAGTAATACATATATATGAACTAGATCCAGAACCACCTCCTGTGTTGCCGCCACCCAAGCCAAATATACCTGTTACAGATGGTTCTACTGATCCGCCAAAGCCCAAAAGTCCGCCAGAGAATGTAACATTAAAAGACAAATGTATGTCTTTACTAAAGAATCGATACACAATTATTCTCATAATATCAAGTATGGTTGCTGTTGTATTGATCATAGTATTACCGGTTGTTCTGTCGAACAAGAATGACAGCAATAATAACAACAACAAATGTGGCACAGTAGATTGTGATACCGCTAACGGACTTCGATGTATTCAGTCGGTCTGCAGATGTGGAAATAATCAGTATTTATCTAACGGACAATGTACTACAGAACTTTCAGGTAGAGATTGGAAATATCATTTTTGAGCATACCTAGGTGTGGCTATTGCTCACTGCAAGTTTCATATAAGTCCAATGTATCCTTCATACTGCCTGCTAAAAGATGGTGAACGTATGATAAAGTATCTGGAAATATTTGTTAGTTATAGATCACGCTAAGGCAAGAATCATAACTTATAAGACGTCTAATGTAATTCAAAAGTTTTTCCGAAATTTCAGTAACACCTTAAATACACCGGTTTTCTAAAAAAAACTTGTTCTTTGTTACTTTGTTGCTAGCAACAACAAGCAACAACTGCGTTACTTGTTACTAGTAACAAAGTAATAAACTAGCATCTGTTGTTACTCATTACTAGTAACAATTGTGTTACTTGTTACTAGTAACAGTAATGGTAACGAGCCACCCCTAATATTTAGCGAATCCACTCAAAGTGTTGCAAGTTTTGAAGGGCAAAATTTTCTTTACGGGTTTTTTCCGCTTAGGTATGCACGGTTTCAAACCGAAAAATCGACACGAAAAAATCGAACATTCAAGATATTTTCATAGATGGTAGGACACTATATAGTATCTATAGGCAAAAGATCACTGAAGTCGGCGTTAGACATCTGGAGAGATCCTCTCGTTAGTATTATTGAGAAATTTTGTGTCGATAGCTATATATAACTCGTTAAGACAAGATGTAGATTTGTGTGTACTTTTTCTGATTTTAGTTTTCGATTGTCGGTTGACTGAAACAGATACAGATAAAATCAGATGTTTCTTTGACAATAGTAAACAGATGTTATGTGCTCACTGTTTATATCATTTTAACCCTTAGATAAAAAAAGTCTGAGAACTTTTCGGTGTCGGTTTAACCAACACCGGTGCATACCTATTTTCACTTATAACAGTCATAACCGTCGTGCATAGGACCATACAGAATCATAGGCTGTACCTTAAGAGACGATTCGCCAGCCCATCAAGAAATCAAGTCATAAGTGAAAAACTGACATATACTTTTTATTTCATATTCAAATTCTACTATCAAAACTGGGGTTATGAAAAATAAAAAAAACTTTCTGACTTATTTTGGCTGAGTTATAGAATTTACAAAATGAGCACCATCGTCGATTTGCGACGATTTTTTTTGCAACAATTTTTCAGTGTTTTATGTTCGGCATCCGAGCAAATTTTGACAAAATTTTTCATTTCGCTAAGAGATTTCAAATGCACATCATCTGATGCACTTTTTGACGCTGATTCCAAATATCATCTTACTTTTGCTTTAAAGTGAAGTTTCGATATCTAAAATCTCAAAAAACTGAAAACTCGCGGTTAGTCGGCCATCTTGTTTTTTCTGTACCACTTTTAAAACAAAGTTTTTGCTCTCAGTTTGTAGAAACTTGACTTCTCTATCGCATGTGACCTTCGAATTCTTAGCTAAATTCTGTTTAGAAGTTCGAAGGTGGCATTTTCTCGAAAATTTTGATCCTTAAAAATCCCAATTCTCCAACTGGTGTGGGTTTTAAACAGTCACTTCACTTCCTACTTCAGAAAAATTAGAAACGATGTGATTTTGTTTCCTTTTATCAGGCTTTGGAATGAGATATTGCTCGAACAGAGTGGATATAGTCAAAATATCAGAGGTGGCTACTTTTCGCTAATTGACAATGGTGCTCATTTTGTAAATTCTATAACTCAGCCAGAATAAGCCAGAAAGTTTTTTTTATTTTTCATAACCCCAGTTTTGATAGTAGAATCCGAATATGAAATAAAAAGTATAAGTCAATTTTCCACTCGTGACCGGTCTTTGACAAGATACTCGATCGACTGGCGAAGTCTCTCTTAAACAACTACGTTCAAGAAAGGAAAAAAGACCGAATTTATTCTAAATATGAAAATATTCGCAGTTATATATAAGTTACATCAAAGTGTAAAACAAAACGATGATTCAAGAATTTCCAAGACCTTGGGGTATAAGGCTCAGTCACTTAAGATCTTTGTACAACAAGTCAAGAAATGGCAAGATGTTCAAGATCTTGACTTCTTCACGTTTCGCGAATTCTTGCATTTTCTTGAATGAATCAAGATCTTACTGAAAAAGCGCAAGAAGTCAAGATTTTGCTTATACGATGTTCCACTAGGGCGAAAATAAAGAGCGAGTTATGTGTAGATGATGACCGCTGCTGGAGAACAATTTATATATAGAATGAGATGAATCGAGGAAGAAGAGAGAAAGATGAAAAGACAATTGGAAGAATGGAGATATTTTTCACAGTGGCATAAAGGAATATGTTGCAAACCATCACCAAATTTTAGAGACAATTATCGTCAGAAAAGTAAGCCACAGCTAGTGGAAGTAACGAAATGCATGCAAACTGATGCTGTCAGTTTCTCCTAGGATTCAAAAGAATTTTGAGTTAGCACAATCAATGATAACTATAATCCACATCTAAATATAAATGAAATGAGATAAAAGAACTTTAAACTTTTTCTTTAATTCGATAGTGCTTCCAACTACTGCTTCAGGCGCAACAGTTCAAGCAACTCAGTCAGTGACAATAGTAGCAACAACATCAGTACTAAGATCCACAGCAACAACAATAACGCCAACAACCATAGTAGCTACCGTCAGCTCTACTGTCAGCAGCACTGCACAGGCAACAATAACGAGCAAACAACAAATAAGTAAGCAAAGTCCCGATTAAGATTGTCGGAGTCACTAACAAAAACGGTTGCTTTTCAATACTAAGTACTTCATGGAGTTAAAGTTTTCCTCTATTAATTTTCACTTTCATAGTGAAATTCTGGAAAATTCGGCGTATCCATTGATAGATTTTAGGACCTGTTCTATAAAAATCTTCATCTGAATTAGAAACAGTATATCAATAGGCATATTGAACAGATGGTACTCTTTTCTATCGACCAACGCTTGTTTGGTTGCGTAGTTGATTTATCTCAAATAACTGAGCGTTCATTTGTTCTCTTTGGCGTTTCATTTATTCGAACTATCTGTTTCAATGAAGCTTCACGTGGTATAGACAGCGTCATAAATTTCAATACTCGCTGCTTCTAAGCTTTAAGCGTGTTGTTATTAATTGAAGAAATCTCTTTTGTTAAAAATAGAGAAAACAATCGCAAAAAGAAATCTTTTTCCAAAATCGTCTAAACATCTAGAATCCTTCGTTTTAGTCAAATTCGAAATTTATCTCATAGGCAACAGATGATTCTAACACTAATCCTCGATATGTTTAGATGTTTAGATCAAAACTGGAATTTTTTTCAAAAAAGAGTACAGAGTAGCATTAAGACTAATGATCAAATTGTATGCTAAAGGAGACAATAGTCATATCTTATATCTAATGTTAATAAAGGAGAATTATCAACAAAGAGTCTACTGTTGATATACTTTAGGGTTAACTAAAACGATGTAAAAATTTTCTACTTTTCGGATCTAATGTAGAAAATAATGATAGCGTTAGTTCCTATTAAGGTTCAGCATAAAATTATAGAAAGAAAGAAGCGGATAAGGTTCTTTCTAGATAAAATAAAAACTTCAATAGCATATTGCTAGGTAATGAATTTTTATCTACAGCTACTAACAAATAGTATGTTGAGATTCTTGTCATTTTCGTTTTAAACTTACTAAACTGTCTAAGCATGAATTCGTAAGCGAAAAATCTAGATACACTTGCTGAGGTATCGCCCGATTACTCCTGCAAAAGTATCTAGATAAAAGAGTAAAAAATATCTGCATCGGATTTTACTCGATTACACGATGCAATATCCGATGCATCTACTGTAGTAAGAAATTATGGCTGATAGAAAACAATAAGAACTACATACATCTAGCGATTAAGCGTACGATTCATCTAGCTGTTTAAAAAAAAAGAATTGCTAGATATAGAAAGCGATATAATTAGTCGTAAATCGAGGCGAAAAAAAGAAACACTCGCTCGTGCAGAGATTTGAACTATCTGTACCTAGAGATCAATAGTCTTCTATATGCGCCATTGTACCATGCGAGCTTATACAAATACATACACAAATTTTGTATTCTCTTTCTTATTATGGATAAAAATAACTAAATTTAAAATAACTAATTAACAATAATGAGCGATTCCCACCATTTATTGGACTTGAGTTTGGAACATGAAATGTTGGAAATTTAATTTTCTAAAATTTTTGTGGTGGTGTCGGGCCTCTAGCAACTGGTCTTCAGGCTAAAATACATTTTTTAGTATCTTTTATCCTGAAGATCTAGCTATACAAAGCTGACCCTGCAGATAAAATTTAGAAAATTAAATTTTCTACACTTTCTGTTTCAAAGTCAAGCTGGAGAACTACTTCCTTTGTGGTAAAAAATTGAAAAGTAGCTTTAAAAAAGTAGTTTTCTCGGATTTTCACTATGAACGAGATATTTTCCAAGCTTGAGTCGAGAACATAAAATGTAGCCAATTGAATTTCCTGAATTTTATCTGCTGGGCTCAGCTTTGTACAACTTGAGCTTCCTGATGCAAAACGATAATCACTGTTTCTCAACAAGGCGATTTCTCACTAGTTGCATCTAGTTGGAAATTGCCTTACACTAGATACATCGTCCAATTTTAACGATAGGATGGAATGGATTTGACTTAAAATGATGTTCAAGTAGATGAAGTGATCGATATAGCCCAACACGTTATACAATCGATGTATCGGCTGTTTTATTGGGCGATTTCACGCGTGTCTCATATGGAGGCGGTACACAATTAGACCCATCTCCCGACATATTGCTCGATGAATCAGGTTAATATTGCTACTAGATACATAACCAGAGACATCTAGAAATGAATCGGCTGTATCTAGATGTATCGGTCGATCACCCGATTCAACATTTTCGCTTTTTTATGCATCTAGATGTATCGCGTTTTGTATTCAGTATATCTAGCTGCACCTGGCGATACTCGATCCTTTTTTTATGCCTGGGTGTGTAGTTCAGCCTTTAAGACATACAGGAGTCCAATACATTTAAAAAAATGTTTTTGAGAAAACGCTTCAGTATATCATGCACATATCATGACCACGTAACGGACGATTTGCAGACATTTCTTCTATGGAATGTGCGAAGCAATATACGATTGTTAATAGAAAGCTGAATGATCACTCTGCATGTCCACTAAAACACTATTTTGTTGAAGCGTTAGTGTAAACACACGCCCTTGTAATAGTTAAATATCTTGTTCTAACATCACAGTGAATTAACCTGTATTGATATTCACTTTCCAGTGAAACGAGTTATCTATGAAAACAATTTGAGCCAATGAACTACGTGGTCGCATGACTACTATTGAAATAACACACATGTTCATCTGTCATAATTTGGCTATAAATACTATGTATACTGAAAATGCTTTAGTCAGTTGCACATTCTCGTTTTCTCAAAAATTGAAATAATGCTTTGAACAGATTTACACAGAAATACGTTAGAAAAGATTTAGGGGTACAATAAGCCAAAAACACTATATATGTGCAGACTATTCATTGTTTTATTTTTTTTAATAACACAAACAAGCCCTTTTCCGCAACACGAGTCTCGAGATTCCATTTGAGGTATTAAAGACAATATTTTCCTGCCTACCCAGGCAAACTTTTCCTGCGAAAAAAACGCGTTAGAGTGCGTTTAAATTTTCATAGAAACTAACGCGTTTAGCAGGATGTTTTTGTCACATTCCGGACGTTCAAACGCGTTACTGATCAACGCGTTTCACAGTGTCGATAATCACCGCGTCAGAGCGCGTTATAATTTAACGCATTTGAACGCCCTAAATGTGGCAAAAAACATCCTGCTAAACGCGTTAGTTTCCAATGCGTTTAAACGCGCTAAACTTTTAAATTTGAAAAAATTAAATTCAGAAT